AATGTCAGCTTTAAGATGAGACTACGCATGTACTGTAACTGCAGCACAACTCAAGTAGAAACTATATTTAAAATGCTTAGCAGCTAATTACCTTGTATCCAATTAGTGAAGGAACTCCCCCACCCGCCCCCCTTTAAAGCGCCGTCATGTAAGTAAAAATTCACGTACAGCGATCGCAGTGGTATCATTGGATAGGGCAGAATGTCAGCTTTAAGATGAGATTAAAAACCAAAAATGCCAAATCCGAAAATTTTAGGGTAGACCTCCCCCTTAAATCCAAGCTCTGGGGCCGGATTATCAAAACATGCTAAGTATACGTAGCCGCTAACGTTTAGCGTAAGTACAGCTAAGTAGACGTGACTCTACTGAGTGTTATTATCGAAACATTTGCGCGGGAAGCTACGTATAAAAATTTGTGCATAACTGTACGCCTGCTCGGAGGTGTCGTAAGCGGAGTTACGTTCAAATTTTGAGTGTTGAAGCAATATGAGACTATTAATTTACTAGCAGCAAGTTGAATTGTAATAGAATTTTGTAAATAATGAGACTTAGGTATAATATGGGATCGTGCTAGTGCTTTTAGGAAAAAATATTCGATTGAGTTTATACCAAAAGCTAATTTGTTTTCCTCTTGTGTTTCAATTTACAAGCAAATGTTGATATTCATGTTCAAGAGTTTTATGCCTTTTGATTCAAAATATCTTCATGCCTTTTTTATTCAAAATTATGTGGAGGTTGACAAGCCAACCATTTTTTTAGCTTCGTACACATATTTCTTTTTTTCTCTGACAGTCACAACTCCAACTCATAAAATTTTCTAAATTCTAGGTCTCTCTAAAAAGTCTTCTAGTTTTGAATTGGAATAGTGAAATTTTTTTGCCCTGATTGCAAGAAATTTTGACGAATGATCACAACAACAAGTGCATTGCTATTTGGATAACGTCATACTTATTTCTCCATATGCACCCTAGTCAGTCTACGCTGATGCCGCTGACACGACACTACCTCCTTCCATCCACGCGCTCTGCGCACTGAGTCGACAGGAGCTAGGAACAGCAAATCCAAAGCCTCTGATTGGTCAGTTAGTTGGATGGTTTCGATAATACCTTTTCAGATAAGTCATGCGTAAGACAGTTTTGTTAATGCCAAATTTTGACTAACTTACGCCATACGTAACTTTTTGAACGTAAGTACGAAAAGTTACGTGAACTTAGCGAAGTTTCGTTAATCTCTGCCCTGAGCGCCAGTTATTGGTCAGAATCGGCGAGAAGGCTGGGCGGTTAAGCACAACAGAATTAGAGCAGTGAGTTGCGTGTTCGAGACCGCAACAAGCTGCAATGTTAATAATCGGCGACACGCCTACGGCCTAATGAACGTTGAAACCGGGTATTGCAAGTGGCCAGAATAGTGAACACCGGACCAATATAAATAGGAAATGGAACTTGAAATAGTCCTGCAATCATTGTAAGATAGACAGATACCGTCGGCGATAGGCAAAAAAATCAGCTGCGAACTCGCAACTATTTTTGATAGGAAGGCCCGATGTCCTGAAACAATTGCCAATGAAATAACCTCCAGAAATTACTTGGTTAACAAGTGTGCAAAATAAGTTTCTGCAGTGTATCTGCTCCCATGCTCGCGTTCAACGCGAGAACTCTTCTTCTACGCCATCGTTGGTAACTTACAGCGCAACACAGGGATCAGTTCTCGGCTCGATTCTCTTCATGTTATATACTGTCGACGAGTTGCACATATAAACTAATAAACTGCAGTCCGCAATGAACGCTGCTGTGCGATTCGTCTGCAATAAGCGAAAATTCAACCAACCATGTGACGCCGATATAGCGCGATATTCAATGGATGCGTATGCAGCAGAAATTGCAGTTTCAAGGTCGCTGTTCTGACGTTCCAATGCCCTCACGGTCTGGCGCCTCCTTATCTCACGAAATGTCTGCAGCCAGCGCGTGTCGGATCTTTCTTCAAGAAGACGATTGCGTTCACCATCAACAGTGAACCTTGTGGGGGCTAGCACCCGACCAGATTTAGTTATTGTTTAACTGACTCCGACTCAAGGGATTTTGAGGCCAGGGTAACCAGAGTTATGCCAATAGGAACAGATTGAAATTAACTAGGGCGGGTCGGTTAATAACAACAAATCAAAGATAGACAATATTTATTATAAGCTCACGTGACCTGCTCGATGATGGTGGTCCCGGTAGGAACTGGGAGACCAGGGCACGTGGTGATGACGAGGTGCTCGTGGCGTGGTGAGATACACGTGGCGTGGTGAGGTACACGTGGCGTGGTGAGATACACGTGGCGTGGTGAGATACACGTTGCGTGGTGAGATACACGTTGCGTGGTGCTTTGCACGTTTGCGTGGTGAGATGCACATTGCGTGATGAGATACACGAGGGGTGATGAGATTCACGTGGCGTGACGTGACGATATGCACGTGGCGTGGTGAGACTCACGTGACGTGGCGAGATTTACGTGGCGTGACGAGATGTCCGTGGCGCTGCGAAACTCACGTGGCATGACGAGATGTACATGGCGTGGTGACTCACGTGGCGTGACATTGTTGTAATGATTTTACAGAGGCACGTTGAGTCACAGGGGCACGTGTTTAACGTTGTTGTGATGCACGTTACAGGGGCAGCAATGGTTCTTGGTACGTGATGTTGCAGGGATGTTAGCGGAGCAGCTGCTGCTATAAGAATGGGCTCCGAGACTACGGGCGGACGCTAGCTGTGAGAGGCTTACCGAAAGTAAATTTTGCCTGCCAACGGAAGCAAATTCTTTCTAGACTAGTTTCATATATATAAAATTAGTTATGTATCAAGATCCGCTACAACCTCGTTGTTCCATTTACACGTTTCTCTACCAGCGGCGACAGAGCGTTCTCCGGCCGTCGCCGCCGCTTCCATTCTCCGTCGCCGCCGGCTCATTCGTTGCAGGTGTTTCGACGACGCCTTAAGACGGAAATATTTCATAGAGCCTACGAATCAAGTGCTTAGTCATTTTTTATTCGTTCTCATCCTTTTTCTTGTCTATTTATTTTTTGCTTGCTATTAAACCTATGTGTAACGTGTACTCGAAGTTCGATCGAACCAGACACCAGTCACACCACAATAACTGCTTCGTAGAATAATAATATAATAATAATAATAATTGTCTGGAAAGTGCCACCAACTGAAAAGAGATTCAATAATAACAATTATGCGTTGCAACGTCATACGTTTCAGCATGGGCGTCTCGGCGTTACTGAATCGAGCGAGTACAGCAGCTAATTAGCTTGCTTGATTCAGTACGTCGCTTAAATTATGCAAGGACCGCATTCTACAAATTCCTACATAACATAACATAACATAGTGAACTCGGCGCTGAAGTGTAGGCCTGATGTGGCCTGTCGCCGATTCTTTTCCTTTTCGTGCCTTGTTCACAGTAGATCTAAAATTAATATTAAATCATGTAATTCCACCGGATCTTTTAGTGACTGACGATAGTTGAAAACTTGAAATAGCTACTTGACTTCCGCCGGGTTCGATATGGTGCTAGGCATTTCAAATCTGAACAAATATTTTTCCGTAGCTTTATCTAGTCTGTTCTTGAACGCGTTCATACTTGGAGCGCCAACGATGTCATCGGGGAGGCTGTTCCACTTGTCGGTTATTCGAAGCGAGAAGAAATGTTGTCTCGTGGAGAAGTTGCAGCGCAGTTTTTTTAATTTATACCCGTGGCCCCAGGTGCTGGTTCTTGTTTCAAATTCTAGTAACCCTTCGCGGACCTTGTATAAACCATGAGTTTACGTAAAATACTTCAATGAGGTCCCCACGCAGACGTCGATAACTGAGGCTTGGAAGCTCCATAATCTTTTATCTTTCTTCGTAGGACTTGCCCTTCAAGCCTGGAATTATCCTTGTTGCACGTCTTTGAACATCCTCTATTAAGTTTTTGTCCTGTTTCAAATCTTGGTGACCACACAACGTTTCCAAACTCTAGATTCGGGCGCACGACAGCAACAAACAACTGTTTCATCCCTTCTGCATCTAGGAACCCGTATGAGAGTCTGATTAACTCAATCGACACTTCTCCGGACCCGCCTGTGAACTCGCCTGCGGACTCAAACGCAAAACCTAACTACACGCTCAACCGAAACACTCATTACTCCTACAATACTGAACAGATTTGCTTGAATTTTGGAATATAAGTAGTTATTATCGATACGCTGCGGTAGGAATTATTACAGATTTCTAAATAAATTAGTTTCCAATTAAATCTAATAAACGTATTTTTTGATTGACCGAAACACTCATAACTCCTACAATACTGAACGGATTTGCTCGAATTTTGGAATATAAGTAGTTATAATTGATACGCTGCGGTAGGAATTCTTAGAGATTTTTAGATAAATTAGTTTCGATTAAGTGTCTGTTAGTCGAAGAAGTTTGTTGGATGTCTTAGCTTGCGTTTCAACGTGCTTAGAAAATGTCAGCTCCTTGTCGACATAAACTTAAACTCCGAGATCTTTTTCCACACTATACTTTTCAAACCGATTCGACACTTCAGCGAACTCGCCTGCAAACTCATCTACTAATATTTTAAATTTGAATAAAATCCGTTCAGTATTGAAGGATTTATGAGTGCCAGAGTTGATAATGAAGTTAGGTTTTGCATTCGAGCTCGCAGGCGAGTTCGCTGAAGTGTCGATTCGGTGTTTTTGAAAGTTAGCTGCAAAGGTGTCGAAGCGTATAGTTTGAGCGAATAATTCGAATTAATGAAAACGTTATTCGAAATTCTTTGCACTTCATTATATTACTCAATGCTTAATAACTTGTCTTGTAGAAGGTGTCTGGTAAATTTATGATTTTTTTATATTAGTAAAGCAATATCATCGTAAACTTGATTTTTTAGATATGTTGCAAAATTTTGCCCTCGTTCTGAAAATAACAAAATTTCGCTTTTTGGTCGTCGTGTGTCGTAAACTGATCGTGCTGCCATCTATTGTAGGAATAGGCAAGTTTCTTGTTGACTGAAGGTGATCGTTATGTTATCCAGTTCATAGGTGTTCATTTCAGTTTCAAATTTATCATTCTGGCAATGAAGCTCCGAGATTAAACGTTGTGGTTAGACAGCGAACGAAAGAATAATATCTAATGGTGAAGAGAAACATGGCATCATCGAGCAGAGGAATTCAAATAGGCTCTGCATGGTTCCAGAGAAAAGTTAAACTTCGACCTCAACATAGAGGCATTCATCTCGTAACAGACGAAATCATTAAGGAAGTACCTGAACTTAGACAATTTGCCGTTGGACTGGTACATATCCAAAGTAAGTTTTAGACTATTGAAGTTATGAACTAATTTTTATTGCTGTGACATGAATTTGATGAATATGAACTGAGTGACATGAATTTGATCATGAATGTGAAATATTTGTTCCCTGCCATTGTGACGAAACATCAAACATGCATACCTACCGTCAATGCCACCAAAATCGCCACCTCACTAAAGTCGCCACGCAGCAGGGAAAAGGAAATATTTATTAAAATCGACCCAACACGAACATTTTGTTATCATAGGAATATATATATACTAGAACATTTATTATTACATAGTGACAAACCAGAGATTTTTAGAATCAGTTCATTTTTAATTTCCTCATTTACTCAAGATTTTAACCAATTTCTCAAGTATGATAATGCTGGTATCCATGATACTTTACTAGTCTACTTATAGGACTCAAAAATGAACTTGAGACAGAGTCTAAAAAACTCTCTGCTTTGCCACTAACCGCAACTATGCGCGATCTTCAACAAACGTTTTGTTTATTTGTTTACATTACGATGTTAATGTTTTTTCTGCAAGATATTTTTGGCGGAAACGGTAAAGCAATGCGGATTGCGGAAGTTGAAAATTTTATGAAATGACATGTTTGCGAAGGCAAACCGCGATTTTTTAATCAAACAAAAATTTATGACATTCGAGCCGCGAGATTTCATACCTACTGAAATTATATGATATTAGAGCCGCGAGATTTCATACCTACTGAAATTATATGATATTAGAGCCGCGATATTTCAGACAAAAATAGGACTTTTCCAGACTAGCTTTGCCACTATGTTTATTAATATTGCTTAAAGATAATAGAATCATTTAGAATGCATTTCCGACAATTATTTTGTTATTAGTTTTGAGATTTCAAATCAGCATGACAAAAATTCGTTGAGCAAAACAAATTTTTTCATTCTGCTGAATGAACTGTGTTTGGGCGATTCTTTATTTCCGCAAAAATGTTTTCCCATCGAACCTTGGGTCAAATCGAGGTGAAACACAGTAAAAAGAGGTTCATTTTGCTTGTACTCCCAGATTTCAATGATAGGCCTATAGAAATTTATTTATAATCTATCCCAATTTCTCAAACATAACTGGCGACTTATGTGTTTATAGTTTTGGGAGAAATGGCGAAGTTTGTGTTGTATATTTGCTTCAACAGGCAGGATTTGAAGATAAATGTTCATTTCTTTTTAATATCTACAACCATAGTGGCAAAGCAAAGAGTTTTTTAGACTCTCCCTCAAGTTCATTTTTGAGTCATATTCATTGTGGCAAAGCAGAGAGATTTTTAGACTCTCTCTCAAGTTCATTTTTGAGTCCTATTATTCCTATAAGTAGACCAGTAAAGTATCCTGGATACCAGCATTACCATACATAAGAAATTGGTTTAAATCTTGAGTAAATGAGGAAATTAAAAATGAACTGATTCTAGAAAAGCCCTGGTTTGCCACTATGTCTACAATGCAATAATTGTGTCTAAGTTCGGTCTTAAATAATGTAAGAAGCATTCATTGTCCATATCTATTCTCAGATTATTAGCAGTTAGACTTTTAAATGCTTGTAAAACTAGGGTAAATGCGGTATATTCCGACATTGTGGGTAAAATTAAAAATGAACTGATTCTAGAAAATCTCTGGTTTGTCGCTATGCGTGGGTAATTCCGTCACCTCTCTAGTTTTTCCTTTATATTAAGCTTTGTTTTAGTTCCATGCGTTCGTTGATGGTTGAAATGGTGACGTCATACAAAACACTAGGCCTTGGCCATCTAGCGGGAAAATATTGAGATCCAAAGAGAGACAATGCACGGTACCCAGTGAGATCATCGAAAAATGTGTCAAATTTGACAGTTGACCTTGCTCTACCAAATAGTGAAATAGGAAGAATATTATGGTTTGAGACTTTTAAATACGTCTGTGAATATATTAGGAATCCTTTAAGTATACTTGTATTTGCAGATTTCAAGTGGTAAATAAATTAATAGATGATTAAGTTGAGAAATGGATTTAGACACATGAAAACTAATTCCGTCACAACTTGAATTGGACACACACAGATCGTTCCAAGCTGTGTACAAAAATTAAAATTTGCTTAATTAAAAGCTTAATAATTGTTAATTGAAAGTGTAATTAAGTAGTGTTCAATATTCATTAGTGTTCTAATTCAAAGCCATGTTGTATTCCAATACAGCTCACACAGCGAACGGAATTCGAACACGTGGATGACAGCATTACGTATCAGTAGAATTTGAAGCGCGGACAGAATACACCTCACCACGTGCCGAATATAGCCACACACAGTGGCGGAATATAGGGATTTGGTAGGTTTGCATTCTAAAGGCTTTTAAATAAATATGGCAACATTTTGTGACGTTTCGTCATTGCTGACACGTAGTGCAGTGTTTTGAGAGTCACATAAAGCAAACAGAACTTGAGTAATGCATACGGTTATTTTTTTATAGTTTTTCATTTCTCGATGCGTCCTTAATGTGTTGGAATATACCGCGTTTACCCTAGTGGGAAAATGTTGAGATCCAAAGAGAGACGGTGCATGCCACCCAATGAGATCATCGAAAAATGTGTCAAAGTTGACAGTTGACCTTGCTGAGGCTTGCTCTACCAAATAGTGATAAACTGTTTGTGTAGAAAGAATATTATGGTTTGAGACTTTTAAATACGTCTGTGAATATATTAGGGATCCTTTAAGTATACTTGTATTTGCTGATTTCAAGTGGTAAATAAATTAATAGATGATTAAGTTGAGAAACACATTTAGACACATAAAAACTTATTCCGACACAACATGAATTGGACACACACAGCTCGTCCCAAGCTGTGTGCAAAAATTAAAATTTTCTTAATTAAAAGCCTAATAACTGTTAATTAAAAGCCTAATTAAGTAGTGCTCAATATTCAATAGTGTTTTAATTCAAAGCCGTGTCGTATTCCAATACAGCTCATACGGCAATCGGAATTCGAACATGTGGATGTCAGAATTACGTATTAGTACAATTTGAAGCGCGGTCGGAATACGTCTCACCACGTGCCGAATATAGTCACACACAGTGTTGGAATATAGGGATTTGGTAGGTTTGCATTCTAAAGGCTTTTAAATAAATATGGCAACATTTTGTGACGTTTCATTGTTGCTGGAGTGTCGTGCGGTGTTTTGAGAGTCACATAAAGCAAACAGAACTCGAGTAACGCATACGTTTTTTTTATAGTTTTTCATTTCTCGATGCATCCTTAATGTGTCGGAATATACCGCGTTTACCCTAGTAGATGAATATAATTTAATTCATTTAATTTACATTATAATTAATTTAATTTATATTATAATTTATTTAAACTACTAGTAGTTTAAATCTAACAAATTATTTAATAATTTTTAATGAACTTCATCATACTTCATGACATAAGAATCTTACTCTCTCATTTAATTGCAGTTCTCCACACATCTGCCAGCCTGGCTCTGAACGAGAACTGGGATCCGTATGTCAGAGATGATATGGAGATGATGCTCAATAAAATAGTGCCTGAGGTAAGGTTTTTTATGACCTCTACTCTATTATCCTTCTTGGTGGGGTGATTGGGTAATACAATTTCCACTCTATTCTATGGTTTTATGTTTTGTGGTACCAAAGTTACCTTAAAAGGATTACCAAAATTACCTTACCTTATATATATTTGGGCCTCTGTGTTCATTCATTTATTATAATAATGGGAATTGTTTTGCGGGTAATAAATGGATTCACCCAATTGTAATTTTTAAATTTATATACAGAAGGAATTAAATATTTTACATGTGTTGCAGCATTTCCCTGGAATATCATGCATAATTGTGCTAAGTGTTTCAAAAGATTGAAATAGATTTGTGATAATACTTTAGATTAGGTGCATCCAAAAAAATGGTGTTTTTTAATTATATGTTTTTGGGGTGTAGATAAAGAATCTGAATTCCGTTTTTGGCGGTCGGCATCGGAAAAGCGATTTTTTTCCCCGAGGCTCTAATTCGTCAAAAAAATCGGGCAAAAATTGGCAAAATCGGCGAAAAAACCTAACCTAACCTAACCATGGTTGCAATGTCGTGGTTGCAAGAGTATATGGGTCACCAAGGCTAAGTTAAAAACGCTATGAATCCACGGATATTGGGGCTGCGGGGCAAGATTTAACTTGCATTTTATCTTAGAAAATATATAAAAATTGGCATATATAAAAATCGGTTTTCCGATGCTGACCACCAAAAATGGATTTCAGATTCTTTATCTACACCCCAAAAAACATATAATAAAAAAACACATTTTTTTTGGGTGCACTTAATCTAAAGCAATACCAGATTTGTTTAGTGTACCTGTTGATGCAGTATCTTTAAGTTCATTTTCAATTCACATAAAAAAAAAAAAAAAATTGAATTGATAAGAATTTGATGAGATATAAGTTCACCTGCAAGTTTAGGAGTCATTGTATATTATAATTGTCACTTTCATAACACTTCATTAAATTACTTTATCATAATCTATGAAGTTTAATCCTTATTTCTTTGAATGTGTTCATCATAATTTCTCAATATTATTACATGCCACATGTTGCCAGAAGTATGAACCATGCAGGCAGACATTCCAAGGATTTTAGGTTTTGATGCTAGAGCCTGGAATTATCTTGCCTTTATCTTTCATTTTGGTAATTAATTTTAAAACTCAGACTGTTTATGCTAAAGTGTCAATCAATCCAAAAATTTTCATTTAATTAGAAAGGGAAACTATCTAAAAATAAATCCTGCAAAACCATCAAACTGCATACAAAAATCACGCAGAGATTTACAATATGTTAACTCCAATAATGTCAGGGTTTTTAGTATCTTTTTCATAGTGTTAGATGGCAGAATTTACTTGTTTATACATGTACAATTGATGACCAGAGAATTAGTTGACTTATCAGGGAGTGGAACAATTCTTCAGATGACAGTAGATTGAAAAGCAAGTTTCAGGAAGTAGTTTTTGTTTATTAACAACGTTTTGACTGCAACAAACATTCATTTTCAAGTTAGAAGAAGCATTAAATATTGAAATTTTGGTGGAAATAAGTACATAATAATGTAAATGAGATACAACAGTAAAATTTTGGACCAAAAATTACTCTGAAAATTCTATTCTATTCTAGAATTACTCTGAAAATTCTAGAATTTTCAGAGTAATTTTTGGTACAAAATTTTACTGTTTTATCTTATTTACATATACTATGTACTCATTTCCACCAAATATTAAATATTTAATGCTTCTTGTAACTTGAAAATGAATGTTTGTTGCATTTGAAATGTCATTAATAAACAAAAACTACTTCCTGAAACTTGCTTCTCAATCTACCGTCATCTGAATTATTCCACTCCATGATAATATAAATCAACACATTTGCTGGTCATCAATTGCATGTGTATAAACAAGTATCTTTTTTCAGCACAAATTCTAGAGGATTATAGTTTGTGATTTTGAGTGAAGGATTGTAAACACATGGTTGGCTTTAGGCTGACCTAAGATAGTGTAGCCCCAGCCATCAAATGGGGTGGGAAGGCTGTGATAAGATAATGCTGCCCCAGCCATCAAATGGGGCAGGAAGGGTGATTTCATGCATAAACCAAATTACTTTGAATGAAGGATTTTTTGCTGCCATAGGGAGGAGTGACTGATTGCTATTTAATTTTCCTAAATATTGAGGTTGCAAATTGTTTTAAAATATGAAGATTCATGTATGCAAGTTATAATCTTTATTATTAATTTGATGAATATTAATTTTTCTTGCCACTTGATTTAGACCTGTTGGTTGTTAGCTAAGACTTGAATTATGTACCATTTATCTTATGTACGTCGTCTTTGCAGGCCTACCTCACTATCAGGTAAACTTGTATATGGTGACAGTGTGTTCATTAGTTGATAAAGACCTTCAGTGAGTTGCTAATTTTCCATGATATTGGAGTTTTTAGATTTAGTTTTTAACTCTGAACTCCACATCATTTGTCTCATAAATTATATTTTTATAAATTTTTCTTGCCATTTCTAGTTGAAATGATCCAGATAGGTTTTTGTGTGGATGACATAAACGGAAAGGAATAGATTGTTGTACTCAAATCTATTTGTGTGATGAGTTTAGTGATATTCAGAGCACCTTCAGTGATATTTATTTTCATTAGTTTTTGTGTAACATTTTTGAGTATTAAGTGTAGCTGTGATTGATTGTTTTTGTACAGTATTTTGTGTAACTTTATTCCCAGAAATAGAATTTTTTATGTACTGCATAACGCACTAAAGATGATCCCTCATTATAACCTTTGCTCAACCGAATGTACAGGAAGCCCTTGCATTAATTCAATTCATTGTCTTTTAAGAAGTTGATATTCTTACTAGTTCCTTAGTGTTTTTCATGATGGCTTGTATTTTGATTAAAAGCCTAAAATTTTTCAATTATTTTTTACAAATGCCATGATAATTTTAAGTGTAGGTAATTAAAATTTTTACCTTTGACTATGCGTGTTTAGTTCTATTCTGTTAATCACCATTATTCATTCATTCTGATATATTCATTTACCAATTATAAATAATCATTTGCCAATTAGCATTGTTGGTTCCCATAACTATGATATCAACCTGCACTTGAGAAAGGTCATTATTTGGATTTTTTCTGAAATTTGACTATCAAGTAACTAAGGGATTTGAGAAAGAGCTTCTTTGTCTGTCATTTTATTGATATTTGAGGGTAGCATCATAATATCTTATTTGTGTCTAGTGTTTCAGGCTGTAGCAATTAATAATGCTGTCAGTATTATACTTTGCCTTGGCCTCATGAATGTATCTCACCCGCAGGGGATGCCTTACCGCCACTCGTGTGAAGGCCCTGACGACATGGTGGGTTGAGGTGCAGAGTTTAGCCAGCAGAACCTTGTTCTGATTATATCTTCGATTTTGTGGCTCTTTTTAGGTTTCATTTGATTATTTTCATGTGAGAACATGTGTGGATTTTAACCTAATATCATGTTTCTACTGGTAGTAATTCACTGTTTTACCTTCCATATTCTTCATTAAAACTAAGTCTGAGACTTGGTTTAATATTACAATTTTTGTAAATTTATAGACACAGACTGGTAGCAAAGGAGTAATTTTTGACTAGTTTATCAGGACCTAAATTGTGTGTTTCAATATAACATTTAACTATGAGTCATTAATTTTGTGTAATGTAAGGTATCCAAACTAGAAGAGTTCTACAACTCTTTTATTTAAATACGTCATAAAATAGGCAGGCTGAAAATTTTTTTGTCCCTTGCAGAAACTATGAATTGCACATCTTGATTGTCATTAAAAATCTGTATTACCATCAAATGAAAACATGAAGAACTTAATTTTCTTAATGTACTGTTGTTCCATGCCACAGGGAAGATGAATGTTTGAAAAATTCTGATCCACGCAAGTATAGTTTTGCTGTCTCTTAATATCCGGAAGCTGAAATGTTGTTCTTTACAGCCAGCCCACGTGAAAGCCTGCTTTATTGGCTCCTCTCTCACTGTGCCGATAGCTGAAGGCAAACTACATCTTGGCACATGGCAGGTAAACCTGAACTGCTCCTGAAGTTTTATTTTAACTACTCACATTTTAGCTAGCAGAAAATAGGGATCATGGATGCACATGATATATATGTGATATTTATAATATTTGGTCAATTAGGAATAGTCTGCTGCAGCTGACATTTGCCATGATTTTTTTTTATTTGCTCGTTTTGTGAGTTTGTTTTCTGTATTTCTAGTTCATACATAATTATTAGTGTGATAAGCTTAAGATTGATAAGATTGTAGGGGTTAACATAAGCTTCTTGGCAGGGCATCTGGTTGTGTGAGCATCGCAACGATGCTGGGCCTCGCAAGGTTGTAGTGACCATCAACGGGTGTCTGAGGGACCGCAGCACACCTGTCTCCCCCATGAGTCCAATGGCCAGCACAAGCAGCTAGTGACGGCTAGCGCAGGGCGACCTGCTTCACCAGCCTCCTCATCGTTGCGACGACCGGCAGCGTCAGCCTAGTGCTGACCCCGTCACTGCTGCCGCTGCTGCTGATGAACATGACGATGTGGGCACTGCAAGCAGTGGTGCTGGAGGCAGAGTTGTGCCGGCCGTCCTGCCCCTTTCATCCCGGCGAAGGCCGTCAGCTGATCGCCGTAGACATACCGTCTATGCAATGAACAGTTGGTCGCCAGTTGATCTCTAACTATTTACTTGATGGATGGTGCGCTGATGGTGTTGAATAGTGACTTGGAATACCAGGAAGAATGGATACGGTTTGGTCATTCCCATTTAAACATTTACATGTGTGTTGGTATGAAAGTTTTTGTTACAAAAAGAGATTCTTTTGATGGGCAGTTCGAAGCCCGCGATCAACTGTAAACTGTCATTATTTTGGCAGTATCTGTATTGCTGTTTATGGTATGATAGGTGGGTGTTAATTGATGAATCATTGATCTGAGTGAGCCTGTCATTGTAATTCATCTGAGTGATCTGTCATTATAATTCATGTTGAGCGTGATAACCATTTTTCGTGAGAAGTTAGTAAAGTACTGCAGCTATTCTCCTTCCAATTATAGATCTTTATTGTATAGCTTATATAATCGCTGGCTTCCACCCGCCGCCGCCGCTATTGTAATAGATGCCCTAATCTGCTCTGCTTAGCGGACGTGGTCAGCTTATGAGTTCAGAGAGAAAAATTGTTGTTATATAGTTGGAGGTCTATGTTGAGAGTATGTAGTTAATTATTTTAGACCCCCATGAATCACTTGGTTGAATATATATCTCTTTTTAATTCGGGTTATCGATCGAAGCTCATTCCATTTCAAAACTATAGTAGAGGAACGAGATGTCGAGCTGGATGTTTGTCTTTCTAAAGCTTGGAACCTGGTTCAAAACACATATTCATTCTTAACGTTAGGATGACTAAAATTTGCAATGCTGCCGGCAGCAGCAGGTGACAGCGTTAAAATTTGTCATTCTAACGCAAGGAATGAACGTGTCTATACAGATTCCGAGATACCATCTGATGTTAAAGCTTGCTCTTGCCCTGATGTGGAAGTCGTAGTAGGAGCGCAGAGTTGTGGTTAGGATACCAGACGGTTATGCGTTTTACCTTGATCTCATCACTGCACTTTACTCATCTCAGAGAGTCTTCGGCTTGGTAGAATCCTAAACTCATCACGGCACTTTACTTATCTCAGTGAGTCTTTGACTTGGTAGAGTACCGCATGGCCTTCCTTCCCGCCGTGCAGCCATTCTGTTTTCACATGAATGCAACAACGGCATGGGTTTTGGAGCAATTTTAGTCCTATCATTTACATTAATTGTCAATTAACTCAAATATTTTATGGTCTCTTAAGTGCTTTCTCAGGCTCTCAGCTCTCTACCATCAATTTTTACTACTGATGACCCCTTTGATTAGAAATCGTTCGCTGTAGTATGTTCGTAAATTATTTTGAAAAGCTTGGCATGTGGGGAGCTTTAAACTTCACCGTTCATTTCGGTTTGCAAATAATATTACCTCATGCAATAGCAAGATGTAGAAATTTTGTACAGAAAAGCTTATTGTTGATGTTACAAAGACTTAATGTTTGGTAGTGCGAGTCATGCTTTTGAAGGTCGTCGTGTTTCGTCTGACGCTCGGGGCCAATGCTTAATTAGCTGCTAGTGCGTTGTTGTCATCATAGGGTTGAAGAAAGCGATCCTCTTTCTTCTGGGGAACACGTAAGATAAAGCTTTATGTGTCCATGACCCTGTAGTTGCTTATTTATAGATATTGTTGTGTAAAACTATTTCAAAGTAGATATTTTATAAATAGGCGCTGCTCAAATTTTGCGGCGATACATCAATAACGTAGGTATGTTGGACCAGAGTTTTTCCTTCATATACTCTCGGCCAAGAGCAGTTTTGAATATTAGTTTTCATATCATTTCAACAAGCGTAAAATATTTGGCGAATTTTTCATTCTTTTGAGTGCTACTTCACTTCGTACGAATGACTTGGGTATTTCTGCTACCAATCACGTTGCAAAGTTCCTGTGAAATTCACACAAGAATGTTATTCTGATGAATTTTTAGACAATATTGTAATTTTTATTACTCACTTGAGTGTATTTAGTCGTTTGAAGTTAATATTGACTTATCTAGTTAGCACGAAAGCTACTGCGTCATGCCAACCGTGACCTACACACCGCGCGTATCCCAGAAGAAATCGACTTGTAGGGTCTGTTTGCTGCTGCCAGATATCAGTTCTGCCTTAGCTTGTCCATCCTGAATACTTATTAAGCGTGCTGTTCTAGTGCTTGTGTCACTTGAAGAATTAGTAACGTGACTGCTTTACTTATTGTGTCGTGTGGAGTGATATTGACTTATATTCGCATCGGTGTTGTTGCCATCCAGCTTGTTGACAATTCATTATATTCCTTTAAGCTGTTCAAATTTTTTTGATTATCTTGAAAAACCTTACTATTATTGTTAATTTTATTTTTAATGAGATTTTTATAATGTTAATAAAACTCGTATAGATCGTACCGTCAGATTATATTCCTCTGAATAGGTCTTAGACCCAGCTAAAATTTTTGTTATATCTATTCTTTTCAACAAGTGCGCAGCTAAGACTTTGTTTTATACATGGCTTAATATTCGTAGGATTGACTAAATTGCCAAGTGGAAGGAGGATAATTCTGATGTCTTCATCCATGGTGAAATAAATCAATCGATCTAATCTAATATTTGAGCTTCTTTATTATAATGTCTCGTTTCCAATGTACTCTTTGATTGTGGATACCGTACTTTATCATTACTTTTTATCCTCCTATCATTGTTACTCGAAATCAGATTGCAAGCCTTGCTGTTGATTGTGCGCTAGTAGTAAGCTTATGTCATCACGAGGTGTGCCCGTGTCGGCAGTTGTTGAGCTCGACTTGACTAAGCCTCGTCTGTTTGCTTGTTGACACTCGTAGCTGTGCACTCACCTCGCTTCTTCTTGGTGCCAGCGATCGGTAGCGCGCGCATCTGGAAACCGACTCTCTTTTCTTGTGCCGCGTTGCCCTTTAGTGCTGATTGACAAATATTACCTAGCGGAATTCAATTTTTTTAAGTATCCCAGCCTTGCTCCACTAGCTGTAATCTGACATATTTTGTGTGCCGAAATTCAGTACGCCGAGCGTGGAAATAGAATATTGAATCTGAATTTAATGGTTTTCGGCAATTTAGTACGAATTAACAATGCTAGATACTTTTCAATAGACTTTATTACTTACTGTACCGAATTTATGGAAAATCACTTACATGGATCGTTTATCAGTCACATCTGAGTTGTACTTAATAGCTTCCATAACAGCTTCTTGGCAGATGTCAACGCTTGTTTCTTTCTATATTGATTTATTTTTGCTTGTCTAGTCAGGCTTTAAGGTTATCCTGCCACTCGTAAACGCAAGTGTATTCTGTTACGCTCTATTTGTCTGTCATGAGTTGGCTCGCCAAATTCAAAATTTGTGTATTTACCTTCAGAAATGTATAGACGTTTTTTATGTCACTTCTGCAGGTCTCGCTTTGCTACAAAAACTAACTTAATCTGGAAGATATGCACGTATAGAGTTTATAGTAAATCAATTGATTGACCATATTGATTTGTCTGAGCTAATGCTTGATCTAATGCTCCATTAAGTAAATGGTGTGCATTGATGCTGCGTACGCATGAGAAGCTGGTTCGAATACTGTGCAGTTTATGATTCGCATCGTGCGTGCTTTCAACCACTCTATATCTGGTATATCTTGATTGTTTGATTCAAGTAACATCTCTTTGACCTGCACTCCCCATCAACTCAATTTTGTAGTTGAACTGTTTGAATTCATTGACCTGCTGCCAAGAAATTTGTGGTGCACCCATAATCTGCCTCGTTTAGCCGGATGGTCTTCTTGCTGCCTGGCAGAAACATGTGTGGGAAGAGGGAACAGTCGGCGATCTTGAATGCTGTGCGGCACATTTGCCCGGTCGGCATCTAGGCTTTCTTTCTTGCATCGACTCCGTTTTCTCACGATGCTCTGACTTACCGAGATGGTAATTTATGCACAAGTCATAATTTTTTCCTGTAAACCAAGATTTATTGTATATTTAATTTCTTCTTGTATTACATCTGAGTAAGAGACCCAAGTATGTTTTGAAGAGAAACTTCTTTCTCTGCATGCATGTCTACTTCAGAAAAATTTATGATCCTCCATTCCAGTGTGAAAGGCGAAACTATTGAGACTATTGACTTATTCCACGATGCTTCCTTTAAACTTCAGGTTAATTCACAATTCTGCGTGCATCCTTTTTACCTATAATTAGCTAATAAAGATAAGTTTGCCAAGTAGAACATGAATGAGAATGTTATCACCTACTTTTGTTAATTTCTTTAATCGAACAGCTTGACACCAAACTTGTCAAGACTGTGTCAAAATTAACCCCATTCGTACTATTCGTTAACAAATATCCAGTTGATGCAAACATTTCTTATATTGCTTGCAATGGAACGCACGATTCTTTTTGGAAACTAATCGTTGTATTGTAACGGATGCTGTAAATTAGAACGTAAGTCTGGGTATTGAATGAATGTTTTACATCCAGTAATTTTCCAACGTTTTTACATCTCTAGGTAGATATTATTTCAGTGCACTGCCCTGGAAACGGTCATGCTAATACTGCTATTTGCGTAGAGAAAATTGCATTGAAGAAAAACCCTGTATTAGTTGATTGCTTATCATTGTTGGCATCCGTTATCACAGCAAGGTGATCCACTCATGGTAGCAGTTGAGTTTTAATGAACGAAATAAAAGCCGGTCTCCTCTCATTTGCAGTTTGTTTTTGGTCTTGTCAACTATCAGCAACTAATAAGTTGTGTTATAGACTCCTAATGTGCGCACGATCGACAATCTGTGAGATTCTAAATTGTAGTCTTCTGCGACTTGTGAATATTTCGTGTCAGCCGCTGTGAAATTTTGTGAACTAAATTAGTCTTGTTTTTCGTGTGTCTTCATTTGTTTGAACGCTCGTGTAATCTAAGTCATTTGTCCGGAACACTTACTCAGAAGGTTGCAATGAAGCGCCGTCTCGATTTATGACGTCCTCGCGACCACCGAGCGTTATTGTAACTAAGCCAGGAATATTTGTGCTTCCGTGTGACTTGTTCTGCCGAAATGCGATTCCATGTATTCTTATTTAGCAACGCTAAATAAGCACTCATTGAGCTTATTTGCACTCACGTCTCCATGCGCGTTTTTTATGTGTTAAGTCCAACGTATCTCCTGAGGAGTTGCAGTACAGAAACATTCACGCATTTAATGCAATAACACATTGGCAGAACACATTCATGTGGCTCGGCTACCAAATGCCTTGTGCATGGCGTCTCAAGAGAATACGCAGCTAAAATGTCGGGAGGAATTCAAGCTTATGCTTATTCTCGAGTTTGCTTCCTAGTCATCGGTCGATCGTTGCTTGTCTTTCAAGAACATAGTGCGTTTTCATCTTCTGCTAATGTCTTTTTTATAGTTCTTATTTACCCAACCACATGAAAGTAAGTAGCTACTTCTGTACATTTATATCTACTAAGATGGCTAGGCTGGAGCCACTGTCTGAACAGATTGTGTGTATAGAATATATATATACTTCATTGTTTGTGATGCGTAGAGCTTTTTACATACTGCGGTCCATCGTTTTCTATTGTTGAAGTGAGGTGATCTAGGTACGCTTATCCCTGTACCACCCAAAAGGACCAATTGGTCTGTTTGTTACATTGAAACCTAAGATGTTGAGCAGGCTGATCGGTATGCAGTGATAGGCAGCCTTTTTTAGGTTCTTATGAGCCGCCAATCAACAAAAACTTCGCATCTCATCAGCTTTGGATGCCCATACTCTGTAGTCTATACATATTCGCAGGTATTGGAAAACCAGGCATTGCATCTGCAACGGAGCATTGACTGGCTGCTGACTTAGCCATTAGATTATGTACGTTTGCAAGCTGCTGGCGGGTGCTGTCGATGCGGGTTGGGACAAACGGTGCATAGAATCTCGGGCAATACATCTGCCGTGGCAGAGTTCGTTATTTCTGCGAGAAATAGTTTCGAAAGGTAATTTTTCTGAAATATTTAGACATTCCGTATTCGAAGTTGATATATAACGTATCGGGTTCTGAAATTTAGCTCCGGGAGAAAGACTCGAATTTCAAATACTTCTGTTCCCTTCCGATGCGCATTTTTTGAAGGCTTGCTATTTGACCCCCGCGATCCGGTTGAAGCTAAGAATTTAGTCTCATCTTTTTATTGCGTGCGTGATGTTTCAGGCTTTATCTCTTCGTACAAGTCTGCAACGGGTTTAATGCTCTAATGTTAATCATCTAAGATTTTCTTTCCTTTTAATTACATTATATCCGTATTCAAGTTATATTTAGCGTACAAGTCGGTAATGCATAATTTTTTTCTATAACGTTATAAGATTGACTTGTGCGCAGTACGTTATCTTTTCTAATTACAAGTTTATCTGTGGAATTGGCGGGAAAATAAACTAATCTGTAATCGGTATCTTTGTTGCACTTTTCAATGTCGTACTATCTGCATATAGACCGTAGGCCGCTAACTCGATTGCTGGCAGTACAAGCAGCTATTTTTACCGCACTCATTATCGACGAGAAAATGAGCGTGCTGCGTGGAATACAATTTCTTAATTTACTCGATTTCTTGAACTTGTTCTTCTATAGCAGCGAGCCATTCTTGGATGAATTGATACTTCATGCTTGAGATATTATGCTTGCTTGGAGAACACGAAGATTATTTGTCTCGGTCGTGCGCGGCGAGTGCTGTGTTCATAAGATGCTCTGTGGCTGCTTGAACAGCCAAGAGGTCCTGTAGGTTCATTTCACACTTCGTATCGTAGTTCAAAGCAAGTAATTCTACGGAAATGAATGGTGTAGCTCTTAACTTAGATGCTGTACTTCGTCACGTGTATTGTTGAATTTATCGCGGAAAGCTCGCGAACTTTGAAGACGTTGATATAAAATATAATGTATTGCAATTATTCACTTGGCGATTTGTTTAAGAAATATTCACAGAAATTTAAAACTTTGCTTCAAAACAATCACGCTTCCTTATTTTGTTATCCATGTCTTTGGAACTATTCATTAAATATAATATTTTCTTCTTTTAAACGACTTTTTCTACCACTCGCATGCCACGATGATAGTGCATCGCACATCCCTATGTTTATAGATGGCCATTTTTTCTAGTGCAGTTGTGCCTATAATGACAGTCGTGCTGATCGATTCGCACAACACACGCCTGTCTTTTTCCATAGAACTTGAGAGATGCGCACTGAAGTGCGCTGAAAAAATCTCCAGTACTCGAGGTGAGTGAGTAATCATTTTGAACCCTAACACGTCTACGGCTGCGCACCCCACTGGGCCACTCCACACATGACTCGACAAGAGTAATGCTTGCAGAATATGACCGCTTTCATATGTATATTTCATACAATTATAAAGGGACTTGATTCACGCCTTGAAAATGCAGCGAAATCCATCCGCGGTCTCCGTAGTGCAACGGTGCAACCGAGTGTCAGTCGGCTTTGATATGTTTTAACCTTGCACTTTAAAAAATTTTAAGCCTTGCGGGACTGCCCGAAGTCATCTACGGCAATGCCAAATGAAAGCGGATCCAAGTTACGCGCTTACGAACGCTGTGTAGTAACGCCATAGCGGGTGCAGTCAGCTCAAGTAATTTACTTTCACTTGCTTTGAGTGACCGATGAGAGGCAGGCGCGCCTCGCCTCTGAGGTCGATGTATGCGTGCATAATGTACGGCACGGCTCCTACGAAGCAGAACTCAACCCAACCTTGGCACTCCCGACACTGTACAGGCTTGGCCCCTATTAGCTTCACGACACGCTTATCGATGGGCCCGAGATCACGTGTAGACCTGTCTTTTTAATTAATTGTGGCGTAGGGAAAATTAAATATAAGTTTGTGATTGGATAAGCCTAATGCCCAAGGTCTATCCACACGGCTCATTTAGGCGAATATTGCGCATCTGTGCTGAACAACTCACAGTTGATCAGCATTACAATTGCCAATCAAGCGAAACTTGACGTATACGCATCTCTTAATACTGATGCGTATCCCCATCTCCTATTCCCCTAAATTGACCAAGATTCTGAGTTATTTAATCTCAAAATGGAAATAAACCAATCTGAATAACAAAATGGTGCATTTACACCTATAACGCTTTAATAAATATAAATACGAGGCTAATTTAGGATCTGTAAGCACCTCAAACGAAGAAACGAGCCCATTTGTCGGTGGCCTGCAAACCGGCCTGTTGCGGTAACCTACGCAACAGCACAATACAAACCCTACATTCCTGATAAATCCCCGAAAAAATAAGGATTGTGTACAAATAAAATCTTTCACAACACTATTCCATCATTCGACAGCAATACCGTCGAGTTCCAGTAACCACAAATCATCACGTAATTTACACGGCTCTCTTCCGTAGTTAGCCACTGCGACCTTGGTTAGGTCCGGCAGCTCAGCCGTCAGCTGGTGCCTCGTCTTATGAAACATTTGCAGTGCCAGAGGTGGGCAGTAGCGCGCTACATGTAGCGGCCGCTACTAGCGGCCGCTACATTTTCAGTAGCGGTAGCGGTAGCGGCTCTACATTTAAGGCAATGTAGCGGTAGCGGTAGCGCCCGCTACATATTCAAGTAGCGATACGAAGACGCGCCTTTTCAGCAGCTACAAAATGAGTCAAGAAAACGGTAAAGCCAAAATTTCCGATTTTTAGGGTAGCCGGTCCCCTTACTAGTATTAAATATTATTTAAAAATCAGCATGATACATACATAATATAAATTACAGAATAAAACTGTACGAAAGATTTCGGTGTAATGTTGTCAACCTCAGCCTTTTACTAGTGTCAACATGTTAGTTGTTACTTGTTAAGTAACTGTTACCAGTTACCACTTACAGGTGGTACCTGGTAACTGGTGGTGGTAACTGGTTTTCATCTTTCAGTTTGCTTACAGTTATTTTTACACAGTTATATTTATGTTTCACCTTCCCTACATGGATGTCTACTTCAATCTACCAATCTCAAAAATAATCCACATATATATACAAAAAAACCTGATTTTTATATGTATATGTGGATAATTTCTTAGATTGGTAGATTAAAGTTCACATCCATGTAGGGAAGGTAAAACATAAAAATAACTGTAACTTCTATGTACTGTATCTAACCCTGGGGTAACCCATACTAGTTCGGTTAGGTTAATTGCAATAAAGTTGCATTGATATCTTTTACAAATGTTTTATTATCATTAAATGTTAATGAGTAAATCCCAATAGCAGAACAATAAATATTTAGAGATTTCCAATAATTTTGGCCATTGTAGCGGCTAATGTAGCGCGCTACATTTTACTGTAGCGGTAGCGGTAGCGCCCGTTACAATCTAGTGGGTGTAGCGGTAGCGGTAGCGCCCGCTACATTTAGAGCATGTAGCGGTAGCGGTAGCGCCGCTACATTTCTAAGTAGCGCTGCCCAGCTCTGTGCAGTGCAACAATTCGAAAGCGAGCACTACGCGAGCGCTACCGGTAGATGACGCTGTTGCGTAATGTATGCTTTAGCACGGCCTCAGGGAAAACAAAACATAGACGAACTTCTGGTTTTTTATACTGTTATCTAATTAAAATCATCCATGCTTTGATTTGTTGTTACTATAATACACTTATGAGACATGGTCGTGTGCTAGATTCTTTCAAACAATGAACTTAGCGATGTGTATAATTCTTTTCTTCTGCGTGCATTCTGTCAATCTATTATGTATTGCGTTGAATGCTGCATTCGAGCTTATCATCTGTGCAGTCAATGATTCAAGATTTTAAAGCATTGATATTTTTCTCTCTGCCATTTGGGAATAATACATTGTCGTGTTATGCTTTGTTCTTCATCAGGGTTCAGTACAGTGTGTGACCACAACTCATCTTAACACGAATGAACCTAACTCTTCGATTTTCAACTTTAATGGAACTTGATTTATCAGACACGAATTGAATTACTATAACTTCCTTAATTTTACCTTCCGTTAATTTTTTTTTGCGAAATCGATATCAAACACTAATTGCTTAGAGTCTAACTTTTAGATTTTAAACTCTCTTGAAACTTGTTTTAGCCCATACGAATGTAAACACGAATTACTCCCAGTCTCACACTTAAAAATTTAACTTTTTTAAATGTAGGGGAGCGGACACGGATTTAACACGAACTGCGCCATCGCTTACTATTAATTTTTTACCTTTCTTATAACTCGGTTAGTCGTTGACGACGCGTGTGCGACGGAAGTGATGGAAGAGAGGGCAGCGCAGCAGGTGTTGGGCGACGACAGGACGCGTGCTGCGAGCGCTGCAGCGGCGCAGTCCTGACAAGCGCGTGCTGCTGCGCGCGTGCTGCGGCGCGCGTGCTGCTGTGCGCTCACAGCAAAACGGAACGTTCCGTGTATATTTTCATAATAGTTGGCAGATGTGATCGTTTGAAATTCCGTAAAAGTTAAATAAAAATTTTGGGTTTCACTAATAAATTTAATTATCTTCACATTCAATATAGACCAATGTTGCCCATGATACCTATTGAGAGCATTAATTTAACAGAGAGAGTGTTCAATAATTAGATGGTTGGTTTCATTACTTGTGCTGAATCTTTGTGTCACAAGGATGTGTAAATTTGTTGAGTTTAAATAGAAAGTTTCTTATATATCCATTTCTGCTAATCAGAGGCCCATCCCTTCTCAGCGTGATAAACTGATGTGAGCGCTTTAATATTTATATGAGTTATGAAATATTTGCAAGATTACTATGAATCTTCTTCAGACATTATTTTAGTTGGTGGCCAATGAAAATTTAGAGAACTATTCAACTTCTCCACATCAATGGCAATGACAATGTAACAGTATATGTGCTGCACATCAAAATTAGAAATAGCTAAAATCTTCAAACATAGAAAAATAAAATCTTCAAATTGAAAGAAAAAAAATCATGCATGGCAAATTGGTAGTTTCGCTTGTGTTAGCCATTCGTGCAATGTAATCGCTGAGAATTAGATTTGTATATTGTGAAAGTTCCTTTCAACTTTCAGGACGTTATTGCTCAACTTATTGCTCCATTGTGTCGTGATAAGCTCATGCTCTATACTCTATACTTCGTTTGAAATCTTATTTGATTTGAAAATGTTATACGTTTTATTATCAAGATAACTTTGGGAGAGGTAAAATAAAATTTTCTGTTATTATGCGGGAGGAAAAATTAATCCGAACATATAAAATTTTGTTTTGAAGTTGATATTTTGACTAATGTCATGCTCGCTGTCGGGTTACATTGATCGCTATTCCTTTGTATTGCAGAGTTGTTATTTAGAGATTCAGCATGCATAAGATTTTCAGCATGCACATTTACCACTCGGTTGTTCTCTTGATAACTATAAGCTCGCGTGGTGTAATGCCGGAAAATTACACTTCAACTGAAGTTACTACACATGCTCCTGTCAACCAAAGTTTAAATTCAGCTGAGAGCGCATCCAAACTACCGCAAGAATTGAATTCGTCAATAAGTGACAGCGATAAAGAGTTTACTGCTAGAATGGCTGTGGCGGTAGATGGAACGCAAAAAGTCAACCGTGCACCTCGTAAAATATTGCAGGAACACGATAACCATACCTCATATTTAGATAAGTATCAGTCTAAAAGTAGAATTCCTGACGCGCAGTTCTCCGCAACGCACGACGCACCACAAATAATCGCTGCACTTCATAAGAGAGACCTGGACTTGCCGATGGATTTGCAGCTCGTCAAAGTTCCGCTACTCGATACGGTGAACACAATTTTGCATCATCACAATTCTTTCGCTTGAATTAAAAATTTAAAAATATGTTGTTCAAAAATCAAATACTTACATATTGATAAGCACCTAAACTTGCTCGAGCCTATACTCAAAAAATTGTTTAGTCTTCAATCAATTATAAATGCGATAAATTCAGCACCATAAGTTTTGATTGTCGAAACAAATTTGATCTCCTCCTGTGTTTCCACTTATTGCATCTGTGACACTTTATGCATGAGGCATGAGTGTTTATTTTGAGCCCGATAAATTTCTGTTCCGGCATCGAAATAAGAATATTCGTAGCATTTTCATGAAATTTAAAAAATTAAATTATAATTATGTGTTAGCAGTGTATAGGGTTTAGTGAAAAGGAATTTTTGCTTACTTTTCTTCAATTAAAAGATGAATAATTTCATAATATCTTTCGATGCACTTGAGCATCGATGTTCACTTTATACATTATTATTTATCTACGAACATTTTGTTGCAGAGAAAACTCAACTACGAATTCTTATACCGCGCGTGGGAGGACCTCAACGAAGGCTACGGCCGCTACGGCGATGGCAGGCTGCAACGTCAGCGTTTCCATCACCGCGAGGAGCGCAGCGACGGTCAAACCAAAGGGCAGTTTCGCTTGCGTCTGCCTAACGGTAGAGTGCAAATCGTCAGCTACCAACAGATGGACGATGAATACCTTGCTAAAGTTGCTTATCTGCTGCCGGATCTTGATAATGATTGCTTGGGTATAGACACAGGCTGTGCTCTCGGTCTTGACAGACTTGAAGTGGGACCATTTGAAAGTCGTAATGGAGATGTGAAGAAAGCAGACTTCACCGAAGAGGATTATAAAACTGATCACAGCCTCAGATATCCATCGAGTATCTCTGAAAATCCAGGTTATCAATTGACATCAAAACAACTTCATCAGGAAAAAACATTTGAGAAAAAACCTTCAACATTTGCCGGCTTCGTGCATCCACAATACCCCAGCGTTGCGCCGCTACCAAACAATCTCAATAAAAATTCCTTTACGACCGAAAGTATTTTCCAGGACATGAAAAATTCAGGATTGGTATATGGTATCAACAAGCAAGTATTTGTAGCAAATGGATACAATCAATTGCCGCAAGTGAACTTTGATCCAGACGCACGCATCATAATACCCTTACCTGACAAATCAGACCGCCAAGGCGGCACTATTGAAGGGAAGAAAAATACTGGCCACGAGAGGAGTAAGAAGATGAGACCATACTTCGATCCACTGCTCCGTGATGTCCCTAAGAAAAAAATTCCTTCTCGCTTCTCGTTGCAAGGTCGCCCTGAGTATTATATTCCCGGTAAAGTTATAATTAATCCTCCAATGGGACATACAATTTATGCCAACCCATCGGCTACACCCCAAACAGAACACAGACCTCAGAAATTTGAACATGGGTATGTAAGAGACTTCCATGCGCTGGGACACACATTAACCGCGGAACCAATGAAAATTATTCCCCCAACGACATATCGTCCACCATACTTCCCTGTTGCCATAAACGGCGATGATCCGGGTATCTCATCTTCACGATTTCAAATACCAAATATTTATCATCCGTCAAACGCAGCCAACGAGTCTCCTCCACTCAAAAGCAATGTCAATTCTCTTTTTAGAAATTCATCTGACGCACACAGTAATTTTTGGCGTTCGCGTAATCACACTCAAAGTGTAACTACAAACCATAAAAACATTAATGTTCAAGACTCATTCAAACAGCAGCAAATTAAAAGTCATCAAGTGCAGTTCCAAAGTTCATTCTCATCACGACAACCACCCCCGCCGGAATCACATCATGCATCAACTGCGTTCAATTTACACCAGTCTGACTCATATCCTCGAGTGCCAAATTTTCCCAGTGCTCTGGATAACTTGCATCAAAAAAATACTTTTCAAAGTCCAAGTACTATTTTCAGATCGCAGGTGCCGAATAGAAAGCATACTCCTAATTCAATTGGAACCACTCCTTCTTCAGCAACCTACCCTTCTCCTTGGTCAAGAACTCGATCTCCACAACCTTCATCATTGAATGAGCAAGAAAACTCTTCTAAACCAAGTGCGCTCCCACCGTCGTCCATATTATCTGCGATCGGCGCTCCGCTTGACCAATTTGTAAATCAGCACATTCACATCCCACCTCAACCCACCACAAGAATTTTGCCGAACCAGCCTATTGTAACTTACTCTGGGTTCATGCCTTCAACATCGTTTGAATTCCTTGAAGGCCCTAGGGCCCTGGATTCAAATTCACTAACCAGAGCATCAGTTAATTCTCACAATGTACTGCATTTGTCATCTTCTGATTTATCAAGTCTGGATTACTCATATCTGAATTATGGAACAAATTTCCCGACAAGTGTTTCAAATCATGTCACTAAGTCCCCTGTGGCTGGAACTGCAAGACACGAGGGCTCTCTATCTAACTCGTCCGCACATGGAAATCATCTTCCTTTTTCCGTGCACAGAAATCCAAGAAAAACCACATCAGTCCCAGGACTAATTGATAAGCACCATCTGCCCCTGCCTAAAAATGCAATTCGTGTACAGAATTCTCTGGCTACCCCTAGCATCCCCGTCACATTGCGGCCAGAGCCAAATGGAGTACGCACAAGTGAAGTTCGTTCTAGTGAAGGTGACATCTCTTCATTTTGTTGCCATTATAGTCTGCACCCGGGCCTTAGCAATGGTGAGCGCAAACCAAGTAAGATCAACTCTTCTATTCGTCCAAAACCATCAATAACGATTGATGCATCTGTAGAAACTAATAATACTGGCAAATCGTTTTATCCTATCTATCCTTATCTGTCTACTCGTATGCTTCCCATCCCTTATCCAATGATAATACCGATTCATCCATTAATAAAAAGAATGGCTCTTCCTGTACCTCGACAAATACCACCTGTGATTAGTTACTCATTATAAAGCGCAATTATATACTTTAGTTTTACGATATTGCACTACATTGCCCAAAGACTGGGATAGATTTTTTTTTTCTTTCCTGGCTCAACGAGTCCCCTAAATAAGTTATGGTTCATTGCTTTAGAAAATTGCGGACTGTGTGAAAACGCACTTGTGGCAAAGTTCAAATTTCTGCATTAAACCATTTGTAATGTGTTTTTTTCATTCAGTATTTTAGTAAGATTATCATGCCTAAGCCTTATCAGAACCTTCCCATAGTAGTTTCCCACGATTATATTAGTTTGAAAGATCTTGCCGTCATAAATATATATCATTATATCGTATCAGACACGCTAGCAAAAAAAAACAATAATGATAATATAACGAAGATGCAATGTAAGAGACGAATCAGTCGATTTGAATAAATTTCGATGTATATTTTGCACACAAGACGCAAAAAAGGATTAGTGTTCTCATTTCAACGGAGCAGCCATTCATCTTCCATAGCAGATTAACTACGCGCGAATAGTTCTGAACTGCAACTGCAGTCTCAATGAAATTAGAAATTTATTTTTGGTCGTTGGTATTGTACTCTATTTTGTGTGTATTTTAGACAGCGAGTAACCGACAAATATAATCATTGCTTACTATTCTTAGCTATTGGATATTCTTATCCTTGAGGCGAATGTTTGCAATGGTTTGACACCACTTGCATGCAAATGATGAATGACGGGCAGAATTTTAATTTCTTGTAAGCGTCTAGTGAATATATTCAGCAGCATCGTGAATGAAGGACAAAACGACTTAACATAATTCCATTAAAATATTCTTGTACACGTTGTTCAGAAGCAGGGATACGCGCTGGCAAATATTTTCATTTCTATTCCATGCATGCGACTGAGTTAGCAACAGGCAAAGTGACCTTGTAACCTTGCATATATTAGTGCATATATTACAACGGTATAGTTAGGCAGAAGTTCGGTATCTATGCGTGTTATTTTCAAACTTGCATAAATTACACTGTAAACCTAGCATTACCTTGCCTGAAGCAAACGCTGTGCAATCACTTATATTCAAAGCGCGGCCGGTCGAAGTCACCTAGTATGAATAAAGTGTTGTCCCAAACGGTAATCTCACCGTAACTTTCAGAGGCATTGTTACTGGCTGCTCAAGCGATTGGTGAACGAACGAACTTTACCACGTGCATCTTCACTACTCACGTAGATCCAGTTAAAAACATAGGTAGCTAAGTGCTTGATCTATCAACGTCTAAAGGCCCGTTCACACTAGGAGCAACAAACGGGCGTCAAGCGCCTCATCGCCCCTCTACGTGCGCTTCTTGTGGGCAACGCAGCGATTGACGAGCTAGCGATTCACGGTTGCTCTGCCTCATGCAACACAAGCGCCGCACTCAGTGGACGGCTGTCCGTGGTCTGGCGAGGTTGTCTGTATACGCTGGTCCTTCACTGTGGCAACTAGCGTCACACTTGTTTGGACTCGCTCTCTAGTAGAGAGGCTAATTGATGTGTGTAGAGACCATGAATGCCTGTACAGTTCAGTCAAAGTAGAATAAAAGTCGAAATGCAAAATAACAAGCTCTGGTGAGAATAGTTGAAGTTTTAAGAAACTTTTGTGTACAAGTCACTATTGACGAGGTTCGCAAGGAAATTCATACGTTGCGTTCGCAATTCCATCGTGAAAGGAATTTCATTGCAAGTGAATTCCATCTCAATTCTATCATCCTGCTTCTGAATGAGTGGCATTATTTTCTTTAGCAGACTGTCAAACAAGTCCACTGGCAGTCTAGTATAATTTTGAAAGTCTGATGCATTCGGAACTGATAATTCTTTATAAATGTAATTGTGTAAGCCCCCTCTCTTCTTTACAACCATTTTTTCACCCAAATACGGTGACGCCTACATATTTTCTTAACAGCAGCACACCCGATAATAATGGCCCACAGATCAAATTCGGACACATCCATCCTCACTAACTTCAAACTGGCAATTAATATTCAAAGCGCGCGGTCTCGAGCTACCGCGTACAGAAATAAGTGTGAACGGGTGTGGGCGGTAAGGCGCTGCAGCAAGCGCCTGTTGAGCGGTTTTAACTACGGCGTAGAGCGATTGTAATGGTGGCTTACTTATCATTAGCTCGCTGGTTCATTTCCATGAAGGGGATTTGTACCTTTGGCTTTTAACATATAATCCCTTAGTCTACTCTGCCCTTTAGCAGGCTTACGCACGGACAGGAGTATTTAACCTATTCACGCTAACCCGGCTCACAACCTTCTTGCAGCTAATGACTGGCTCTACTTGCATTTTTGGACCGCCTTTCTAACTTCTTGCAGCCAATGAGGCTAGGTTAGGTCCGCTCAGGTTTGTTTTGGGTGGAGAAAGGTTGCTGCTCGTATAGGTTAGGCCTGCAGAGGTTAGGCCAGAGGAGCTTTGGCCAGATGCAGTATGGCCTCGTTTACCTTTGGCAAGCTTATTTTGTGGCTTTGGACATCCGGCGCTATGGCTTTGAGCACTTGACTTCATAGGCCGTTATGCACTCTAGCGTTCTTACGTATGGAAAAGAATATGAACTAAGTGTGAAGCATGGCAAAGCTGGCCTCCGGCATGCGCCCCAAGAGAAACACAAGTAATCCCAGACCTACACGATAACTTAGCCCGGGAGCGGTGAGGAAGAAAGGGCCAGTAGAGCCTAGAGGGGCGGCAGTTCACTAAGTCGAAGTCGGAAGTTCGTACGTTTGTTTGACGATTTGTACACAACACGTGCAGAACCTGAATCCGAATCGAATAAATTCTCACGAGCTAAAGATCACCGTTTGGTAGTTAGGAATTTATATTCAAAATTTCGTTCGAATCTGTATAGTAGTTTGGAAGAAATTCTTTGATCACTGCGAATTTCGGCCCGTATCACCATATAACCACCGAATGAAGGTGAAATTTAAAATTTTTTCACGAGCTAAACATCACCGTTAAGTCTGTTCTAAGTTTTATCTAGCTGCGTTCATTAGTTTGGGAGATATTTCTTGATCATTGAATTTGGATATTGGCCGTGAGACCAGCTGCGAGGGAGCGCAGCCGTGCACCACCAATTTTGTGCACCAATAAGCCCTGAATCGAACGCCTTGGATCTCTCCGGACCTACACCAATCAGCCGGGCACCACTCGGCTTCGTCCCCTTCCGGCCTTGACCACCACCTGCCGTGCACCACCCGGCCGCGGATTGAATCTGACTTCCGGGCATCGTTAAATTACGTAATTTTACGCCCACCGCATCTGAGATTAGGTTTCAGATAGCATAGTTCTGTTCCAAAATTTATCGTCCTTCGACAAGCAGCCGTTCGACCGAGGGCTGGTTCGACCCACGGCCTAGATACGGACGACTTGAAGTGTTGAAGGCTACGTTCCGGAAGGCAGGAATCATGATGGTCCATTACATCAAGGGCAGTGGTGGTCTTCGGCAGGCGACCCCAGCTGCGAGACGTACTGGCCACGAGTCCGGCCGTAAACGAGGTCCGAGCCTCCCTGAATTTCTAGTGCTAAAACACTTAAAAAACTGTAAAAAAATATATTGTTTTACTACATGGGGTTTTATTTGTGAAGTATACATTAGGGTTTAACATTTCTATTTTAAAATTGCAGCATACTAAATATCTAGAAAGAGGCGTTTGTTTTTATATGTCTGTCGAAGGGGGAGTAGGGCGCTAGAGATTCACTGGGGAGCCAAAGGGGGCGCCAGCCTTAAAAAGTTTGGGAACCACTGAACTACAGGGAGATTCACGGAAACTTCCTGTTTTGTATTTCGCGTCAAGCAGCCAAATGTAGGAAAGGGCGAGGAGTATTTTATATGAAAAGCAAGGTCATGAAATTTTGTTTCGCGTTCGGCAGGAGCGGCTCACTTTCTGTGTGTTTACAGCCAGCGAAGCGGACGCTATACTTATACTCTCCACCATTGATATGCTGCTGCTATATAATCACGTACAGGGGGGTTTGAGGTCAAAGATTTCACTCGAGCCATTTTTCCCAGGAGCTCACCCGATAGAATCTCATGAAAATTGGCACAGACACGTACGCATATTTTGTGTATCAAACCTTCTTGCCGGATTTCCGAAATTTCTACTCCTTCCCCCCCAAAATTCTCAAAAATGGGGGAAATTTGATCAAAAAAATACCTAAAATGAGGTTGCGGAAACGATCACAGCTCAAAAAGTTACTAACTCAGAGCGATGCGCTTGATTTCAAACAAAAGATAGAAGGTTGGAGTGTGTTTGGGATTTCGAACGATTTTTTGTCGTTTCAAAACTTCATCCACAAAATTGGGGTCAAAGTTGAACCTAAAAAATTTTTTTCGGCCAATTTTCGGTGGTTTTTCTACTCTCACGGCCAAAACGTGAAATTTTTGCCATAGTGAAAGCGGAAAAAGATGCGTCTTGTTGAGACAAACACGCTGGGGAAACGGATTTTAAAAAAGCTTAAAACTCACAAAGTTGTGAGGAAAACATTGATAAACTTTTTACCAACTTTTTCACTTTCTCCTTCACAACTCTACGGAAAAATTTTGTAGATTTTTTAACAACTTCATTCATGAAGCGCAAGTCATTCATGAAGCACAAGTCATTCATGAAGCACATGATCTTAGCTTTTAACCCTTTCCACCCGGCTATATGATGGAAGTTATTTTATGTTTTTTTTTGTGTTAATTGTGCTTTATGATCCTCTATTATAGTTTCTATGCTACTAAAATAAAAAAAAAACAATTAATATCAAAAATACTGATCCGGGACTCCAGAGTCCCGTCAGGGCTCGCGGTACATGTATTAGTCGTATAGTCATCACACGCGATCCCTTGTATTATGCTCCAAGATATGTACAATATGCACTTATTAACAATAATAATGAATAATAAAACACGTTTTGCAGTAAACATTTTTGACTTACAAAATTAGCACAAAAAACAAATAAAAGAATATATTTTCAGCATAAAAAGTAGCTGATTTTTTTAGCCTTGCTAATACAATTGATACAATGTAAAAGCTAATCAGATATTTATTATCAGTAAGTATATAGAAAAAATAATCTGAATGAAATATTAATTTATGATGTAGGATAATAACTTTGGCTTATGTGACAAGGGTTGAGTTCTGACCGTGATCGAGGACGCACGTACGTGTTTGCGGGTCCCAACATTCTCACTTTTTACTATGCCGGTTCGACTTATCTTTCGAATTTGTACCGAAACGATTTCAGTGAAAGGTTCAATTTTAGTGCAGTTTAGTAAAAATTGGGCGAATAGTGAGAAAAACGGCTAGTACAAGTGTTTTATTCCCGATAAATGCCGTGCATGAATCGAGGGAAAGTTTGTAACGTCTTGTGAACCCTCGGCGATCGCCTGTCACGGAGAACAACGGTGCCTTGAGACGCTCAGGCCTCGCCTTCCTATACCCTCCCCACCCTACACCTCCCCCTCTCCACCCGCTTCACGCGTCCATCCCTTGTTCCCCCCCCCCGGACACCCTTTGTCTTTCCCTCGCCAGCTGCAGCTCAGCTGTTCCTCCAGCCGAAATTTTTTAGGGAACTTTACTATACTCAACTCAGTTTTGTACGTTTCTCCGT